ATTTATATGAAAATTATAAAAATTAAGATAATAAAAATTCGTCTAATTGATTTATATATAAAAATTATAAAGAATATGAAGTTTATGATATTTTTAGAGTTTATAAAGATTATAAGAATTATGAAAATTATGGAAATTATGAAAATTATGAAAATTATAGAAATTTTCAATCATAACAACATGATCTATATCTGAAAGATTATATAACCAACTAATATAGTAAAAATAGTTAACTTTTAAAACAAATATAATTATAGTGGAATTTTTATAAAATGTAACTATAATATATAAATTTAATTGTAATATAATGAAATTGAAAATATATTATTATATATTTTTATTTCAATTAATTTAAATAGAAAAAATATTTTGCATAGAATTTACATTTTAAAGTTCAATTGTAAATTGCAATTTTTGATTTGAAAAAATTCAGTTTCAATATTAGATTTTATAAACAAATTTTATAATTAATAACAATAAATTTAACAAATAATTATTATATATACTCAAAATTAATGGTTTTTTTACAGTTACATATTTCAAAAATAATACATTTTTTTCAAGTATCTTTCGATATATGACCATAAGCTTTTTGTTGGATCTAAGAACTCTTATGTCAAGAGTTAATGATTTTGATTTTGCAAAGGTTCTTTTATTGTTCGTAATTGTTTACGCCCTTTTTTATGAGCTTCGAAACTTCGCCCAGCACGACTTTGTGGTCCAAATTGTTTTTGCATAACAAAATTCCAATGTACCATAAACCATGAAGTATGATAAGCGAGATTATCATAGAATTCTGATGCGGACTTTCTAATTTCTGGAAGTTTTGACCATGGGACCTATAATAATTAATAAATATATATAATTATTATTAAATTCAATTTTTGCTAGTTGAGATTAATTATTATCATTCATCACCTTGGTGAAATCATGATGTTCATTGTGATATCCAATATTCAGAAATGGTATATTAAGAATGCCATAATACGAATAAGTTTCTTGCCCATCATCAAATGTGTAATGTTCTTGAATGAAATGTGCAGCGGCCGGATGAACTCCATACCCAAGCCAAAGAGACAATACTAAATATCCGAGACCTCTTGGTCCGCAGTAAATATAAATCAAGAAATCTGTAATGATTGTAAATACCCAATTCACCCATTCCCAAAATTGTGGTTGTTTTTGCATTGCTAGCCCGCGTACCACGTACATCACCGGATAAATATTTAACCAAATAAATTTCAAGAACGCATTGCCGCGTATTAAATTTTTCTCCCAGTCTAACGGAAGATCAGGATCCATTCCGACAACTCCTTGAAATGTGTGATGTTCAAGATGATACCGGCGAAATGACATTGCTATCGGGAATGGTAATCCAATATTGGCAATCAGACCAATAATTCGATTTTGGAATGACGTTGGGGCCGCGAGACAATGACATGCTTCATGGATAATGACACCATAGAGTTGTGTCAAGGAAGCCCCAATTACATATGAATAAATTATCATTGTCCAGTTCCAGTCTGTTAATATTTTACCAAATACGTATGCTGAAATTAATTGTGCAACGACAGCAACTATAGTTATTGGAATGGTTGTCATGTCGTAGCCGTAGAGTTTCTCTATTTCGGGATATTTTTTAAGAATGGTAACTTTACGTTTCATGTGAGGTTCGTCCATGTTATCAATTGCAATGTCTTTGTCCACATAGGGTATAGATTTTTTCCATTCACCAAGGTAAAGTGGATGTCTGCAATCGGGATTGTCCTCATCTTTGTCAGGTAAAGGGACATCCTTCGATGTATCTGTAAAAGGAGGCATGACCAAATTAGTTTAAGTTATTATTAAGGAAGAAAAGAATTTTCCAAAATTTATTTACTCCGTCAATCTGTCAATAAAATTTTTCTATGAAACATGTGTTATCGTTATTTCTAGATGGATACAATTTCTAGATCGATAGAAGTTTAAAGAAAGCACTGCATTGTATGCATTATATGCATTCTATGCATTCTAATCTGGTCTATTTCAAGGAGTTCGTTAAATTGCTCATATCGTTATGGTTAAAGTATGATATTAATTAGCGTTAAGGATCGTTAAATCGCATAGTGCTCCGAATTAGTAATAATCGAAAAGTATGATATTAATTAGCGTTAGGGATCGTTAAATCGCATAGTCGCTCCGAATTAGTAATAGTCGCTTAATTTAAGGAGTTTTCTTTATCATTGTCGTTATGAATTTTTTCTGTATTATTATATCGATTGCAATTTTATCTATTGAACATATTATTAAAATTCAATTATAATATGACATGAAGTCTAAGCCAATATAATTACGCTTTATCACATGCCAGCAAAAATTTTTCTCTTTAATAATCTAACTATTCATATAACAAAAAAAAACCTATTTTTTATTGATAAACCGATCGACTACTAAATCTGCAGCTGCTCCAGATGTGATCTCACCACGAAAGAGTTTTTGGTCTAGTTCATTTACGAGAGTTCTAATCGATGATTCGGACTTGAATCTGTTTATTTAAGACAGGAGAAAAGGATGAAACTTAGCTCACTTCTTTGGATAACGAATAAAGTAATATAATTTTTTTGTTTCTTACCTTTCTAATAATTCAGAAGTAACTTGACGCCACATCCACAATTTACGCTGCGTTCCGCGTTTCCTTTCACATTCACTGGATTTCTATCCGAAAAAATAAATTTGTTAGAAATCAAAAAAATCCATCTATTTCAATCATCAATAAATCAATTAAACAAACCATCTTAACCAAAAAGTACTCTTTGACGGCATCCCAAACATCATTAATTCCCATCTTTGTCTTTGCCGATACAGGTATCACCTAGCAAAAAAAAAATAAAAAAACAATCATCAATTTATTATTATTATTATTAATTGTATTTTTTTAATGATAATACTTTTGGCATCCACACAGAAGAAGTCGGCTTCAAGTACTTCAAAGCACTCTTATACTCTGCAGCAGCCTCTTTAGCCGCATTCGCCAATTGACCATCAGCTTTATTAACTATTACGAGGTCAGCGATTTCCACTATTCCTTTCTTGAGTCCCTTTTATTATATTCAAACGTAATTCGCAATTAGATTTTTTTATAAGTGGAACTTCGATCGGAAACATTAATAAAACCTGAATTTCATCACCACCCGCCGGCGGAACTATCAATACAAACATATCAACCATCTCGGATACCATTATCTCCGACTGTCCGACGCCAACAGTCTCAACTAGAATCACGTCGTATCCAGCAGCTAACCAATCATAAATAATACGATTTTTATCAATATATGAAAACGACAATAACTTATTGATAATTAAAAAACAAACAAGTAATACCTTCACACAAAACAATCGTTTCATTCGTATTTCTGGCTACCTATAGTTCAATTTATCTATACATAAAACAATGCCTCAGGCAAACTGGATAGGAGAACTACACGTAAAAAGATCAGAGAGCGAGAGATTGCAGTAGAAGCTCTCTAATGGAATACTTACGCCTCCTGCACAATATTAACATTAATGCAGCATATAAAATGATTAATTAACTATAGCTTCAAGAACCTTAAAATTAAAAGAGATAGAAAGAAAAACTATACCAAGTGTTCCACGAGTAGGTGAAGGTCGAACATACGCGTCTTCTTGATGAGAAAGTTGCGGCATCCTTGTTTTATCACCCATTATAGAGCCACCGGTACGTGGTGAAGACGGATCAACAGCCTAATATGAATCGTAACAATTTTTTAGTCCTTCCATATCACAAACCAAGCAATGCCAAATAGGAAAAATTATTGACACTTACAAGCACAGCAACACGATGCCCTTTCGAAAGCACGTGCATACCAAAAGCCTCAATAAAAGTAGATTTACCAACACCCGGAGGTCCAGAAAGCCCAATTCGATACGTGATTTTTTTATTGGTGTCTCCTATGTCGGCATCCAATTTTTTGTATAGCCTCACGGAAGGAAAGTCTTTATGCATTATTTTGTTCTGTGCGTCGAGAAGCAATGAGAGAAGTTGTTGTGCTTGTATTTTGTGATCGGATCGTGAGGATTCGACTATTCATATATAATAGATCAAGAGTCAAGTCAGAAAAATAATTGTTATATTTGATCCCCACGCGCATATTCGCATATTAATTTTTCAAATAACCTAATGTGATTGCTTTCGCTAAGTAATATCGATCTCTTTGCAATATTCCTTCATAGAGCGCCATAATTTTGGGTAGAATCGGGATATTAACAGAGGAGGAAGTAGCGGTAGTGGTAGTAGTAGTAGTAGTAGTATGTGATGATACATTCAAATGCCGTGATACAACGATCGGAAATAATTTAGATCCATTAACAATGGTTGGATTTTTGATGCGACAAGTCTATGATTCGAATCAAAAGTTAGTAGAAACAAAATTAATAGATTTATATTGAACATAGACTTGCTTTGAGCATTTTCGATAAAAACATGATTTCCACGGTTTTATATATACAAAAAAACCAGATCTTCAATCCCCGAGATCTTTTATTTTCGTAAACAATCTGATGAAAAAATCGTACGAATATCTCTCTGAAAAAAATGAAGTCATCAGTGTATTTATAAATTTTTTTGGGGACACCTTATTGGTTGTTACGATCATGATGATCACAAACTTTTTTTTGGTGGTGTTCCATTTTTTTCTGTCATTTATCGTTATGGAATCACAGAAGAATAAATTTGGAAATACTTCGTCTTCTACCAGCAAAAAAACAAAACGACGAATAAAACGTCGTGCATCATTTGAAGATCAAGAATGGCGTAAAATTTCGTCGGTCACGCTGCCTTTAGCAAATTCTAAACCTGAAAAACCCATAAAAAACGCTGCGACCTTAGTACTGAAAAATGATAAAAAACGTAAGCGTACTGAAGTTGAAACTGAGATAGTAAAAAACGTTAGTCATGTGAAAAAGAAAAAACGAAAGCAAACTTCTCAGGAAAGCAAGAAAGGAAAAAATGCCGTATTAATGAAAGATAATGATGTTGAAATTGATGAAGTGAATGTTGACAATGACCCTGGCGACATGAATAAGTGGAATTGGAAAGAGGCAAAATATCCAGATGAAATAGTTCTTGGAGATGAAGATTTAGAAGGGATTTTGTGTTTGGAGGAGTGTGATGATGTTGATGTTGTATATGAAGGAAATAAAAAGTCTGGAAGAGTTGTAAAGTTTAAAGTATTAAGATAATTAATTAATTGATGTCTTTGTAAACAAAGATAATTAATATTGATTTTTGTTGTGAAATTTTGTCGTTTAGAAAATAAAAAAGGAAACAGCAACTAATAAAAACGAATCAAAATCTCGTGCGGCAAATCCTGAAGAACCATTATCAATTGATGAGACCCGAAATTATTATGATTTGGATACATTTGATGAGGGATCAATTTCTTTTTTTAATAATGAAGAAGATGATGACACTTCTAATAATAATGAGAAAAGTGACGATGAGATTATGGGTATCGATGATAGTCATGAAAATAGTGATAGTTGGGAGACTATTGATACTTTTGATGAAACAGATTATGAGAGTGAGAACGAAAATGAAAATGAAAATGAAAGTGAAAGGAAAGGTCAGAATAGTGTAGGTCATGTTGAGGAAAACAAGAATAAGTCCAAGGAGAAAAAAAAAGCTTCGAAATCCTTTATAATAAATGATGACAATGATGAAGTAGACAATTTAACGAAAAATAATGTTCTTCCTGTCGTCAGTCAAAATAGAAAGGATGCTCTTATAAAAGATGTTAATCTCGGTATATAATAATAAATATTCATTGATTCCTACATTCTATTTGTTCATGTATTTAACAACCATTCTTATACTGAATAGATTTTAACGCATCAGCATGGATTGCTTTTGGACTCTGCTCAAACATCATACTCGCCTTAAAATCACTTCAATTCTCCGAGCCTACGCCTATTCAAAAGAAAACTTTGCCCCATGGATTATCTGGACGTGATATAATTGGCGCGGCGGAAACTGGATCGGGGAAAACACTTGCATTTGGACTTCCTATTCTACAGTATTTAATGAATGAGGGAAATAAACCTATTGGAGAAAAGTTGAGAGATGTTAATGATCCACGCACAAACGAACTTGTGGCGTTAATTGTTACGCCGACTAGAGAATTGGCGATACAAGTCAAAGATCATATATTGAGCATTGGAAAGTTTGGTGACGTCAAGGTTAGTGGATTAATTACCTGGTTCGAATACATGAAAAATACGTCTAAATTTTTTCATATAAATAGGTCATAACTCTTGTCGGCGGTATGGCAGTACAAAAGCAGCGACGACTAATGGATAAACATCCGAATATAATTGTTGCTACTCCTGGTCGATTATGGGAAGTGGTCTCAGAGGTTTGTAATTTTAATAAATAAATCGTTTTTTTTTCACATTCGAAATTTCGATTTATTTTGATTAATAATTGTCCAGAACGTTGAATATCTCGAAAAAATTCGTCGCATAAAATTCTTTGTACTTGATGAGGCGGATCGTATGCTCGAGTCTGGCCATTTCCAAGAATTGAATCAAATAGTTAACTGTTTATCAAAAAGTCAACAGTAAGTCATATTTTCACAAATTACTAGAATTTTATTGCGTGTATTTTTTTCATAGAGTGTGAACTAAGCTATTTAATACTTTCTCACTCTTAGAAAGACCAATGATTGGTCAGATAATGAAAGCAAAGAACCCACTGGAATCAACAAAAAAACAAATAAGAAAGAAAAAAGTATCTATTTGGACTTTTATTAAGCATTTTTTTTATATTATAAAAAGTTATTAAACAACCTTTCAATAATAATAAATAATGATAGATCCTTCAAAAAGACAAACATTTATATTCTCTGCCACACTCGACAAGAATCTAAAAGAGAACTTGAAGAAGAAAAAGAAACATTTCAAAAACACTTTAAAGAAATTCGAGGTTAATAAAACGCGTGCCACGATGAGTGAGTGCAATGTCTTTTCATGAGTCATAAATAAATTACATTTATACATAATATTATTTTGTTTTCTTCTAGAGGAATTAATGGAACGGCTCGAGTTTACCGATCCTGACCCGATCTTTATTGATATCACACCAGAACACGTGGTATCTAGTACATTACAAGAATCAAAGATTGATTGCTTAACCACAGAAAAGGTTTTTATTCTAAATTAACAAATAATGTTTAAATATACTTATCGTGACGAATAAATTCATTTGCATCAATAATTAATTACCTTTATTCATATCAAATTAGGATGTTTACATATACTACTTTATAACACGATACCCGGGCAGAACACTGATATTTGTCAATAGTATCAACACGATTCGAGGATTAATTCCCATTATGAGATTATTGGGAATCGAAGTACTGGGATTGCATGCTCAGATGCAACAAAGACAACGATTGAAAAATTTAGATAGGTAAATTTCTTTAAAATCAATTTTTTATTCATATTAAACAATATTAACACAAAAAACAATAGATTCAAACAAAACCCGAAAGCTGTCATGATCGCTAGTGATGTCGCTGCTCGTGGTCTCGATATCCCATTGGTGGATCATGTTGTTCATTATCAGCTGCCGCGTTCTGGTGACGTGGGTATCCATGGAACATTTTTATTGAGTATCTATTTTATAAGTAATTTTTTTCATGAAATATATAGATATATGTACATCGAAGTGGTCGAACGGCAAGAGTTCGACGAGAAGGAATAAGTTTGATGTTGTGTAGTCCTGAAGAAATTGTATTATATCGTAAAATTTGTCAAAAGCTTAAAAAAGGTAAAATTAGTTTTTCGCGTCGTATACTCGTATCAGTTTCGGCAATTGGACAATAAAACTGCGTCACATTTTCAATTAGACATATAAAGTTCCAGCAGTGACTTATTACTAAACATTTTTATTGTCTCAGATGAAGGTCTGTCCAATTTTCCGGTCGACCAAAGTATCGTGAAAGCCATAAAACAGAGAATAACTTTGGCGCGCAAAATTGATCAGGATGAACACAAGTTACAAAAGGTATATTATTTACTTTTATACCCCAAATAATTTTGACATCGTGGATAATTATTTTTAATTTATTAGAATAATTATGATGATGATTGGTTAAAAAAAGTCGCGCAAGATCTGGATGTCGATGTGGACGAAGATCTGTAAGATTAATATTTTTGCTTGTTTAGTTTATTTCTTTTTTAAAAAAAGATAAATAAGTATTAATTAATAATTTAGTCTAAATAATAAACGAAGTAATGATAAAAACGATAATGATGATGACAACGTCATCAACGCCAAAAAAATCAAAGCAAAAATAAAATCAATGAAAGTGCAACTTCAATCGTTGCTTGCCGAGACATTGATTCCCCGTGGTATTTCGTCAAAGTACTTGACGGGTGGTGTTGTGCGTGATTTGGCGGATCGATTGCTTCTGGATAGTGATTCTTGTATGTTATTTTGTTTTATTTTCTTTGTTGTTATTGTTTCTAATTTTTTATTATTTATTTTTTATTGCTGATGTTAGTGAATCCTTCATTGCTTGGGGTTAAGCAAACAAAGGCAACAGAAGACTTAAAATCAAAAAATATTAAGAAAAAAGGAATGAATTCTGGTACTAGTGGTAATAATAATAACAAGCATCAACATCAAAACAATATTAAAAGTAAAAATCTTGGTATCAATACAAATATTAGTAATAACAGCAAATCGAAAAATAAATAAATATTAAACTATTATTTATTTCTCAAATATATTGATGTTTGTGATCCGACAAATTATTGATTTATTTGATGAAACAAGATTATAATTTCTTTATAGTTTTTTTTATTTTGCTTTTTCATTTATATATAAACATAATAAAAAAAATTCTTTATAATTATCCAATTTTGCTTTTTCAAAAGTGATAAATATAGATATTTGACTATATTATCTTGTGTTATTAATTCATATTGTAATAGTTGAACATTTTGTATATTTTTTTTGTTTTTTTCAATGATTGCACCTAATCCTAAAGCTCAATTATCTGAAATTGACAATCATTATATATTAAAAATGTCAAGTTCTTTAAGAACATGTTATAAAATGAATTTTTAAATGTTTTCAGAAAATACATATATATATAGAAGTACAACATGAATATAACTCTTGTATTCATATTTCTTCATTTTCTTGATTTTTTCCAGTAATGCTCTTACATATCATAATAATGATAATACAATCATTCTATTCATTGATTTTTCTTTCTTACACCATTTTTTTGCTTTCAATGATCATGTCAAATGTAGCAAAGTCCTGCTTTTTCAAGATTTTTGATCCATTTTGTATATTCTTTGATTAGAAAATAATAGGTTTTAGTTTTCTCTATCTCCAGTGATCCATTCTGTACTATATTATCATCCTCCACTGTTTTCCATTCTTGATCAACACCATCTGTCACGTCTAAAATACAATCAAGTGTGTCGTCAAGCTCATTGTTACTAATATCCATATCAACTTCGTCGATAAAAATCATGTTGATGTCAAGTGATAATGACATTCTAACATACGTAACGCAACCAATCCAGCATGTGATAAGTTGCATAGTCAGTGACGGGATATATTGTTAAGTCTTAGACAATTACAACGACATCGAAAATTAAAAAATAATGGTGTGCACCAGAATCCACCAGGGCGACCCCCAAAAGTTCGGGCCACGTGATAATTTTTTGATGACGTCAACGATGCGAAAAGGGTTAGGGATTGGATCAAGGTTATTTGGCAAACGAAAAATATATATAGTAAAATTTCGCAAGGAACATTTTTTATTAGAACACAAAAGATAGTTTCATAGGCTAGATTTTGAGATACATACAAGCTTTTTTTCAAAAATATGTCTTTGTTTTATTTATTTTTGAATTTTTGTGTTACACGTTGATCGAACTCTTGGGGGTCGCCCTGGTGGATTCGTGTGCACCATACACTTCCTAATTTATCATTATATAGCTTCCAATTAGCGATGGGATTTACATGCGTCCAATCAGAACTTCAGATCAGCAAATCACATGTAAGTTCTCCAATATGTTCGGGTGATACAAGCTTTCCGAATAGGAAAGATGTGGCTAGTAACACTAATTTATCGTCTGAGTTAGGTTAGGATTAGGGTTTGTGCCATCCTTACTAGCCACAAATTTTCTTATTTGGGAAATTTGATTTGTCTATCCCCGCACATTTAAGTATACTCCAGATTTCTTGCATTTTTAAATAAATTTTGAGCTTTTGATCGAGTTTGACAAGAATGTCTAGTCCACTACAACGACACGTTTTCAAAGCTCCAGAACAGAAGCGAAAACAGCCACTTCCTCGACCTCGAGCTTCACTCTTAGGCTTAGATAAATTGGCTGAGGCAAAACGAGCAGAAAAGGCTGCAAAACAAGCAAAAATGGAACAACAACAAGGAAGTGCACCTAAAAAAATAAAACTTACTCTAGAATCAGAATGGGACGAAGACGAAAAAGTCGAAAAGGTTGCTCCTTCTCCTTGGACATCGTCAAGACGTGATAAAATCCCAAGTTCTACGCGGTCGAGAAGTGAATGGGATTCTTCACCTTCTAGAACCGATTATAGATCTATACCGTTTACGCCACGGCCCTCCAGTGGTAGCCAGACACCACGATGTAAGCTGAATTGATGCTTTTCTTTTTATGATTTTTTGTAATAATTCATTACTGTTTTTCTGTTCACATAGCTTATCGTAAAGGAAAGAAATCTGAATGGGACTTTCCTACACCTCGAGTTCCATCCTCTGGATATAGAGAAACAGAAAGAGGCTTCCCCGAAGTCGAAGAAATGAGCGACGATGTTCCCCGAATGGAATGGGAAGAAGAACAACGACAGCTCGATCGTGAATGGTACAACATAGAAGAATCATCTGGAGCAACGGACGATACTCATAATCCTTTTGAAATGTATGCGGATATCGAAGTGAAGAAAGAAGCCGAACTAGCACAAAAACAACTAAAAAAAGTGTCCGCCCGACAAGAACAATATAATCGTGATAACGAACTCTGGGAAACTAACCGTATGCTGACGAGTGGTGTCGCGCAACGGAGAGAAATGCTTGATTTGGAATTCACTGATGATTCGGAGGCTCGGGTGCATTTGCTTGTGCATGATATGAAGCCGCCATTTTTGGATGGACGTACAGTGTTCACGAAGCAGCTTGAGGCTGTGCAGACTGTTAGAGATCCTACTTCTGATATGGCAGTATTCTCAAGAAAAGGAAGTCAACTTGTAAAAGATAAGAGAGAGCAAATAGAAAAGCAAAAGGCTTGTAGCATTATCTTTTTTGTTTTGTTTTGTTTGTTAATTTCGAGTTTAACGAAATTCTCGATCAACTAGGCCACGAGGAAAACTGTTGATCTTGCCGGCACTGCCCTAGGAAATATAATGGGGGTAAAATCGACAGAAGAAGAAGGTAAATAAATTTTTTATTTTTCACATACGAAAAAATTTTCGCATTTTAAGTATCTTATCCTAATATAATTTAAACCTTTTAGCTACTCCAAAAGTAACAAAAGATGGTGAACTAGAGAATCCAAAAGGCGATTCGCAATTCGCATCACATCTTAAGGCATCAGAAGCCGCCAGCTCTTTCTCCAGATCAAAGTCTCTTCGTGAACAGCGGGAGTTTTTACCAGCTTTTGCTGTCCGTGAAGAACTACTTAGAATAATTCGCGATAATCAAGGTAAAATTTAAAACCTTACAGATTTGAAATGCTTACTAATGAATGAGTTATAAACAAAAATTGATTTTTATTTTGTCTATTAGTCGTGGTGGTAATTGGTGAAACAGGTTCCGGAAAGACTACACAGCTGACTCAGTATCTTCTTGAGGACGGTTACAGTAAGAATGGTATGATTGGGTGCACGCAACCACGTCGTGTAGCTGCCATGTCTGTAGCAAAACGTGTAAGTGAAGAGATGGAATGTAAACTCGGAACAACCGTTGGTTATGCAATTCGATTTGAAGACTGTACGTCAGGTGAAACAAAAATAAAGTGTAAGTGGGTAACAATTTAATCTTAAACAGAAAACAAAGTCTTATTTCTATAAACAAAAATTGAACTTTAAATATTTTTTTGATAATAATTAACTTTTTAGATATGACCGATGGTGTAATGCTTCGTGAATCACTCAAAGAACCTGATCTTGATAATTACAGTGCTATTATTATGGACGAGGCTCATGAACGTTCTCTTCAGACAGATGTCTTGATGGGTTTGTTACGTAAAGGTAATACTTTTTTTGTGACTTTTTTGGTTGAATATCTGATTAAGTTATTAATTCGTTTTGCTGCTTAGTTATATCAAGACGCAGGGATATAAAATTACTGGTAACGTCTGCAACTATGAACGCCGAAAAGGTATAACATTACGATTTATATTTAATTAATATTTTCGTTATTATTATTCTGAATTAGTTACAGACCAGAAATATTTATTTTTATTCAAAAATGATAGTTTTCTGCATTTTTTGGACACTGTCCCACATTCACAATCCCTGGTCGTACTTTTCCTGTTGACATAATGTTTAGCAAAACGCCTTGTGAGGATTACGTCGATAGCGCGGTCAAACAAGTGTTGTCCATTCATATTGGTAGTCCGGCGGGTGATATTTTGGTATTTATGACTGGTCAAGAGGATATTGAAATTACTTGTCAAGTCATTGCAGGTATTTAGACATTTTCATATATCTAATTAGCATAATCATATGATATTAGCATAATCATATGATTGGCTGGTTGCTTATGCTTTTGTTTTTTTTTATTTGATTCCTATAGAACGGCTTGAACAACTAGATAACCCACCACCATTAGCGATTCTTCCAATATATTCACAATTGCCTGCAGATTTGCAAGCAAAGATTTTCGAAAAAGCTGCGGATAACGCACGAAAAGTCATCGTTGCGACAAATATTGCAGAGACTTCGCTAACCGGTAATTATAATATTATCAATTAACAAAAAAAAACATATCAATCTGCAAAATGATAGTTTATTAATCCATATAATTCTTTTATTCACCCAAAAGTTGATGGTATAATGTATGTTATCGATACTGGCTATAATAAATTAAAGGTTTTTAATCCTAAAATCGGTATGGATTCCCTTCAAATAACTCCAGTCAGCCAGGCGAATTCAAATCAAAGGTCTGGTCGTGCCGGTCGTACAGGTGCCGGCACGTGTTACCGTCTTTACACGGAACAAGCATATCATCATGAAATGTTTTCCAATACTATTCCTGAAATTCAAAGAACTAATCTTGCGAATGTGGTGTTATTGCTAAAGTCTTTGGGAGTTAAGAATTTGCTGGATTTTGATTTTATGGATCCGCCTCCTCAGGTATTTATTATAATTGATAATAGACTTGGTATATTATCCAAATTATTTTTTATTGTCTTTCTAAAATTCAAACCGGTTTGTATCCGGTTTAGTATTATAACCGATTTCAATATTAAATCTGGCTAGAATATTAAAACTGAACTGGTTTTGCAACCCGGATTTAAAAAATCAAAGTGGTAACTTTATAATAGTATACATACATTAACACCATATCATTGTTGTTATTAATAATATTAGGATAATATATTAAATTCGATGTATCAACTATGGGTGTTAGGTGCTCTTGATAACACAGGAGAATTGACACCACTCGGTCGTAAGATGGTAGAGTTTCCACTAGACCCGTCTTTATCTAAAATGTTAATTGTCTCTGAGCAATTAGGTTGCACAGCAGAGATATTGGTATGTACTTTTGTTAATCAACATTATAATTATAATTATTATTATTATTATTAGTTTATTTCTGTTGACCATTTTTTGATCATTTAGACTATTGTATCTATGTTATCTGTGCCCTCAGTTTTCTATCGTCCCAAAGAACGCGTAGAACAAAGTGACGCAGCACGGGAAAAATTCTTTGTTCCTGAAAGTGATCACTTGACGCTTCTACACGTATACACACAATGGAGATCTCATGGGTTAGATACTATGCATATTTTTTTTGTTCTATAATGACATGTGGCAATATAAACACTAATCCAAAATAATTGATTGTTTAAATCAAATTAGCTATCGTGAAGACTGGTGCATAAAACACTTTATCCACGCAAAAGCAATGCGAAAAGCCCAGGAAGTTCGCTCACAACTAATGGATATCATGAAAGCTGAAAAAATGGTGTACGTCTCGTGCGGCACAGAATGGGATGTCGTCCGGAAATGCATCTGTTCCGCATACTTCCATCAGGCGGCACGCGTAAAAGGTATTGGCGAGTATGTGAATTGTCGTACTGGTATGCCGTGTCATTTACATCCGACGAGTGCGTTGTACGGACTCGGTTATACGCCTGATTATATCGTGTATCACGAGTTAGTGATGACTTCAAAAGAATACATGCAGTGTGTGACAGCTGTTGATCCGTATTGGTTGGCTGAGATGGGGTATGTTTTGGTGGTTTTTCTGGTATTTGCTTTCTTGTAATTTATGTTAATTCTTGCTTTTTTATAGCCCAATGTTTTATTCTATCAAAGAAAAGAACTATACCCAAAAGGTAAGCTATCTATCTATATATTCATTCATCACATTATTTGTTCGTGTTTTTAGTTATTCGATATAAGTCAAACCTCTCTTCCACCAATACTGAATTTCATGAGTATGACTTCCATTTACATTAATAGGAAAAACGACTAGCCAACAAAGCAGAAATGGCCAAAATGAATATGGAACTTCAAATAAAAATCACGCGCGAAAAAGAAGCCGAAGAAATCGAGCGAAAGAAAAACGCGTCGTCTACCCCACGAAGTTTGGCACAAATAGCTACGCCTGGTCGACGAGAACCTGGTACGCCAATGAGAAAGCGGAATCTTGGGTTATAATGATATAATTATTTGAACAATCAAGATTTAGATTTATATACAACAAATAGACATTAGATTTTATTATTATTATGTAAATACATTAATAAATAATTCATAACGATAATGATAACTGCATTTATTTAATTAAAATCATTCGGAAACACTATAAAATTGAATTATCAACAATGAATGAATTAACAAATAAATAAACACAGATTTGATCTAATATGCAACCCAAAAATCATTTTCATTAACACATTCAATTGCGCATGGTAGTAAAAATATATTTTCTAAAAGAAAATTACATTAGATTAAATTAAGCTGATTTTTCAATCACGCTTTTTCAATTGCTAGAAATTCAATTATAAATTTATATCAAATTTTGACATGAAAATGATTCCAGATATCAATTTAGCTATCAATTAAAAATAAGTTGCATGATTTCAAAGAATTAATTAATACATATGTGAAAAGTTCAAAAAGATTAAGATATCTTTTTTGGTTTCGAAATATTTAATAACTATTATACTTTTCTAAAATATTTTTAGATAAATATTCCAGCAATCTTTTTATTAATTGCAAAAGTGCAAGTATTTTTGTATTATATAATCAAGTTTTTGTTATATACAAATTTACTAATTTTTATATTGCTTTCTGTATTTAAATATTCAAATTTTTTAATATTTTAACTAGTATGTTTTAGTATTAGAATAAAAAAGCAAAATATATACTTTCAAATTTCTTTTTAAACAAAAAGTTTATAAAGTTGAGTTCATACTCAAAAATCATAATATTGATAATTTCACTTTCTTTCTTTCTTATTATTATTTGAAATTAATTTTAAGAAATTCAAATTGTATTTTTTTATTAAAAATAATATTTTAACTAGCTGTAATCAATCAAAAATATATTATTTAAAATTTATATTCTCTAAAATATTAGATATTATATATCAATATTCTAATTGAATCAAGTATAATAAATATATTAAAAGATAAAGTATTTTTTTGATTTTTATTTGAATTATTATCTTGAATTTCATTATATTCTTGAATAATTATTTAATTATTTTGAATAAAATTAATAAATATAAGTTGATTAAAATTCATAAAATATTGATAAATAAAATTTATAAGAAATCTATTTAGCATTTTATAATAATAAAACCAGTATTCAATAATTTTTTTACAAAAATCATTTGTAATATTATATATGGTACCAGAAAGTTAAACTTGATAATCATGTGATTTGTTTCAATTTTCTGTTAGTGATTCAATGATTAATTAATCAATAAATAAAATAATGACATTTTAATTACATGTAATTTTGATTTAATTTTTGATCAGAAATTCTAGTGCTTAGAAACAGTGCAGAATCACGTGATCTTCAAAAATTCATGCTTATATAATTATGAAAAATTGATATTAAAGGTACTTCATTCTTAAATCATATGGTTTTTGACACAAAAAAATAAAAAATGTGGAAAATATGAAAAACAAATATCAAAATTTAGCTTAAAGTACTATTAAAAAATCTTAGAAAAACAATTTTACATATAATTTTATACTCAGCTCTAACTCTAATACTAATCTAATGATAAAAAAGCTGTATTGTGACTAGCTTGTACTTTTGATATGAGTTGGGCACATGCAAGATTTAGAAAACAATTTGTATTTAAAACTGAAGGAATTCAACAGGATTGTTATAACGTCTGTGTCGGAAGCATGTACAAGTAAAACATGCAGTCGTTGTGGAAATACAGTTTAGGTGCTTGAGTTATGTAATATAGCTATGCCGAAATAATTAGCTTTGTAATAAAATACTTGTGTATTATCGATTATCGTAGACATTTGAATGATTGGTCGAAATCAAATCACCATTCTATATATAAACCTATTATCTATTACTTGTAGTCAGACGCGACATATTTAAATCATGTATCCCAGCAGTAGTAACAACAATAACAACAACAGCAACAACCCCAACAACAACAACACGAATAGCAGCAACACTAACAATACTAATACAGGTACCAACACCAACACCGCGTCTACTATTGGAAATGCAAAGCCAGGATGGGGTGAGTTCTCACAAAACAAGAACCTTAGATCGTACTTATGCCTGAATAAATTTTTCAAACTCATTATATTCGAAACCACAGGATTCGGAAGCGCAGGAAGCGCAGGAGTAACACAAAGCCAAATTCTTCCGACATTTGGGCAAGCTACAGGTGCATACATTATTCATACATTCAACAAAATTCTACTCATGCCTCTACTTTCTGTTTACTCTTATTTTGCGTTCTGTTCCAGGTTAGTAATAATAATTCTAATAATACGACCGGAATTAGAGGGTGAGGAGAAGGATTTAGTCCTTTTGGTAGTTCGCCACAACAATCAGGATCAACGACTTGGTGAATTTGGTATTTCACAAATAACATTAACTCGACCTTCATCTTGGGTTGACTACAACAGGGTTTTCAGGATTTGGTGCTACTGGGTTTTCTGGAACAGAATCCCCATCGACAAATACTTCTGCTCCTTTACCTTCATTATTCTCAGCTTTCGCGAAAAAAGAAACTGCACCAACGACGACGACCACAACCACCTCTGGATTTACATTAGGAGGTAATAATAACAACAACAACAAAAATAATGCTACTGCTCCGATAGATGCTTCGAATATATTTGCAAGACTTGGGAATCAAACCACAGCTTCTACTACCGCATCGTCCGCCGCTTTATTTAAACCACCGGATGCAGCAAATAAAACAGTCACTGCGCAACCCACAACCACCTCTGGATTTACGTTAGGAAGTAATATTAGTAATAACAGCACAGCGCAACCCACAACCACCTCCGGATTTACGTTAGGAAGTAATATTAGTAATAACAATACTGCGCAACCCGCAACCACCTCTGGATTTACGTTAGGAAGTAATATTAGTAATAAAAATACTGCGCAACCCACAACCACCTCTGGATTTACGTTAGGAAGTAATATTAGTAATAACAACACTGCGCAACCCACAACCACCTCTGGATTTACATTAGGAAGCAGTATTAGTAACAACAACAAAAGCAACAGCAACAACAACAAAAATAATACTACTGCTCCGATAGATTCTTCGAATATATTTGCAAGACTTGGTAATCAAAGCCAAACCACAGCTTCTAATACTGCATCGTCCGCCACTTTATTCAAACCACCGGATGCGGCGAATAAAACGGTCACTACGCAACCCATAACCACCTCTGGATTTACGTTAGGAAGTAGTATTAGTAATAACAACACTACGCAACCCACAACCGCCTCTGGATTTACGTTAGGAGGTAGTATTAGTAATAACAACAAAAATAATGCTACCGCTCCGATAGATTCTTCGAATATATTTGCAAGGCTTGGTAATCAAACCACAGCTTCTTCTACTGTACCTCCCGCTACATTTAAACCACCGGATGCAGCGAATAAAACAGTCACTGCACAACCTACAACCACCTCTGGGTTTACGTTAGGAAGTAGTATTAATAATAACAACAAAAGTAATGCTACTGCTCCAATAAATTCTTCGAATATATTTGCAAGACTTGGTAATCAAACCACAGCTTCTACTACTGCATCGTCCGCCGCTTTATTTAAACCACCGGATGCAGCGAATAAAACTGCCACTGCACAGCCTACCTCTGGATTTACGTTAGGAGGTAGTATTAGTAATAACAACAAAAATAATGCTACTGCTCCGATAGGTTCTTCGAATATATTTGCAAGACTTGGTAATCAAACCACAGCTCCTACATCTGCATTATCGACAACAAAAACCATTACATCACCGGCTCCTTCAGCAACAACTACCACCGCTAAGCCTAGCAATCCTATATCATCAATAGCACAGTCAACAACAAGCGCTGCTGCTACACCAGCAGCTGGTACTAAATCAGCGGCAACGATTCCATCAGCCACAACTACCACCGCTAAACCTAGCAATCCTATACCATCAATAGCACAGTCAACAAGCGCTGCTGCTACACCAGTGACTGCTACTCCGTCTTCAGGAAAACCAATCGTGCCTGAAGTACCTAGTTGGCTACAAGACGCCACAATCAACGATATGATTAATCGTTGGACAGAAGATTTGGATAATTGTGAGCGAACCTTTCAAACTCAGGCAAAGGAAGTGCTCGAGTGGGATCGAAGAGTCATGGAAAATAATGGAAGAGTATGTCTTTATTAATTATATAAAAACAGAAGTTCGAATATTTTTATTCTAATTCCTAACAATCAATACTTTATAAAATCTGGTTGATAATAATAATAATAATAATAATAACAGCTATCGAATTTACTAGCACAAATTGAACGTGCTAATATTGTTCAACGGGAAATTGATATGAGTCTAGCGAACTTTGAGCAAAGGCAGCAAGATATGGAACAGTTGTTGCAGCAGTATGAATCAAGATATTATGAAGCTCCCAAAGATAGTAAAACAGACAAATCGAGAGAAAATAGGTAAGTTTTTTCCTATTTTATTTTTTTGGTTACATCTAAAAAAATAAGTGATTTAAATCAATTTCTTCTTTAATTAGTTATAAACTTGCTTCAACAATTAACCGTGATCTGAATTCAATGAGCAACCAACTTTCCAACATTATCAACGATATAAATCGTAACACGTCCACATTTGGCGCGGATACTTTTTCTGCTGCTGAGGTTGAAGAAGATGCAGCAATGGAGGATGCAGATGATGCGGTAAGAAAATATTTTATAGAAACTTTATTAAATGCGTCAATTATTAAATATCCGTTTTTATAATTGTAAATTGCACACAGGTTGACGAAGTCGTCAAAATTCTTAACGCGCATCTGATATCATTGCAATGGATCGATCAAACTGCTAGCCAGATGTCTGATCGAATTCGTGAAGCCCAGAATGCATTGGACACGATCAAAAGTAACAAAATGTAAAAGAACACTTGTTCGTTTGGGTAATTTGGCATGAACATAATTTGTGAAGTATCATTTTATTGAAAATTATAACTATTTAGTTTTACCTGCTCTGGATCTAAATATTTCCTTAAATAGGTAGCTCTAATTGAGTTCTGAGAAATATGTTAACTTTACAATTTTCTATAAATGATTTTGTATCATAAAAATCAGGTGGCAATAAATATATTTTCATATGAGATTAAGTGACTCATCATCTCTCTTCTGCGATTATCATAATCGAAAATTAAAAAGCTAAATGGAGATTTCTACGTAACAAATATCACTTTTTGATATTTTTCAATGAATGCGTACGAACAAAACGCATCGTTGTCCTCAAACGATGAAACAGCCACAAAAGTAAGACTAGCACGCTGGAAAAAACGCCTACAAAACTTAACAGAGATACAACTACCGACTGACTACCCGCGGCCACTTCCTTTGCAAGTGGTAGAAGCAGTGCAGACACTACACCTGCCAGAAGCGACAGCTTATGCTGTTTTACAATTGTCGATATCTCTGTCATTCTCTTCCAATCATACTAAGAATCAAAATGAAATTCCAAATAATAATGACACGGATAAAAACAAGAATATTGCTGCACCAAAACGTCATCCATCACCATTTACTATTCTGTTAGCCGCATTCGCAGTGTTACTTTATAGATATACTGGGGACGAAGATATAACTGTTGGGTCTTCGTCCGATTCGCGGAATCCTCTTGTTCTGAGATTGGCTATTAATCCTGCGGATACTTTTGCAAATATAGTACAACGAGTTGAGCAGGTACTCATTCATATGAAAAAATTTGCGAATTTTACGCATAATTTATAACGTGTGTGCAAAGTCTCTAATTATTATATTAAAATAATAATAATAATAATAAAAAAGATTGAGCAAGAAGCATCAGCTGATGAAGTCCCATTTCACTTGCTTTTATCTTCACTATTTCCTGATGACAGTAATAGTACATCCGATATTAATAGCAACAACTCTACTACATATGTCGCATACAAACCATTATTTCGCGTCCGCTTCTTCAATCAAACCGACACACCCGACAACCCACTACTTCAAGCAACATCAACTTCCACCGATCTCACTGTCTTCATCACATCTCACACATCATCATCTCTTCGTCACACGCTCTTACCTGCAATAGAAATCCGCGTCTCCTACAACCAAATACTATTTTCGTCTCGACGAATCGAACATATTCTCGATCAATTAGTCACCATAATAAACAATGCCGCACAAAATAAAGAAATTCCTGTGGCGCAGATACCTATTCTCACGTCAAAGTGCCTCGGGATCTTACCGGATCCGATATCGGATTTGAAGTGGGGTGAATTTCAGGGCGCGATTACTGATATATTTGCAAGGAATGCTAAAATGTGGCCGGATAGGCGGTGTGTGTTGGAGAGTGTTTTGAATAGTGATAATAGGAAAAGGGTTTTCACGTATCGTGAAATTCATGAGGCATCTAATCTAGTGGCACAGTATTTGAGATTGAAGGGAATTGAACGGGAGGACGTTGTGATAGTATATGCTTATCGAGGAGTTGATCTTGTTGTGGCTGTTATGGGTGTATTGAAAGCTGGTGCGACTTTTAGTGTCATTGGTAAAAGATTTTTTCCTTCGTTATTATATATACACTTAATTAATGGTAATGATTACTTGAAAATTAATTTATCTTATGTTTTACGGGTTTCACAAAATAAAACAGATCCTGCCTATCCACCAGACCGTCAAAACATTTACCTACAAGTTGCACAACCCCGAGGAGTCATCATACTGAAAAACGCGGGTACATTGAATCCTACTGTCCGTTCATACATTCAAGAAAAACTATCAATAAAATGCGAAATTCCGGCCTTACAGATTTTAGAAGGCAACAAAGGAGTGAAGGGAGGAGAAATAGATGGGAAAGATATTTTGGATATATTACGCGGTTTTGAATCGCAGGATCTTGAGATTGTTATTGGACCGGATAGTATTGGGACGTTGAGTTTCACTAGTGGAAGTACTGGTATACCAAAAGGTAATAAGTAATAATTACAATAATTAGAACAATGATTAGGTATTTAATAATGGAGACGATTAATATGTGTAATTGTGTGTATTAGGTGTAAGAGGGAGACATTTCTCTTTAACTCACTATTACCCATGGATGTCTCGAGAATTTGGTCTTTCGGAGAAAGACCGATTTACAATGTTGAGTGGAATTGCGCATGACCCAATTCAGCGTGATAGTGAGTTTTTACTCTTAGTTCTGGGTTTGATGCAAAAGTCATTCTAAATTATTTTGTTAATTTGTTCGTTAATAAAAAAAGTATTCACTCCGCTCTTTCTTGGCGCTGAGTTACACGTTCCGACTAGTGAAGATATTGGAGTTCCAGGAAGATTGGCTACTTGGATGGCAGAAAACAAAATTACGGTTACTCATCTGACCCCTGGTAAGCTGAATTTCAAATCATATTAGCTTGATTCGATTCATCAATAGATAACCTTTTTTTTTTATTTTTATAAAGCTATGGGTCAACTTCTCTCTGCAAACGCAAGCACACCAATTCCGAGTCTCCGAAACGCATTCTTCGTCGGCGACATCTTAACAAAGCGCGACTGTAATCGTCTACAGCATCTAGCCTCAAACACTGTCATCATAAACATGTATGGCACTACAGAAACGCAACGTTCTGTTTCCTATTTCACCATCCCGTCTCTTTCGTCCGCACCAGCATTTCTCGCGTCCCAAAAAGATGTGATACCGGCTGGCAAAGGCATGCAAAATGTTCAGTTGTTAGTTGTGAATCGACATAATAAGAATATTTTGTGTGGAGTTGGTGAGATTGGTGAAATTTATGTGAGGGCTGGTGGATTGGCTGAAGGGTATTTGCAGTTGGAACAGGTTACTCGTGAAAAGTTTTTGACGAATTGGTTTAGTGATGGGAAAATTAAAAATGATGAAGATGAAAAAGGGTCAGAGGAGTGGCGAGCTTATTGGAAAGGAAAGAGAGATAGAGTGTATAAGACGGGTGATCTTGGAAGATACAGGCCCGACGGAAATGGTATATTAAGATTATTAGCGAAAATATTTATGTTTTAGTTTTTTTCTCATTCTAATAATGACTATAAATCTTAAAAGTTGAATGCGTCGGTCGTGCAGATGACCAAATAAAAATCCGTGGATTCCGTATCGAGCTCGGCGAAATCGATACACGTCTTTCACAACACCCACTTGTTCGCGAGAATGTCACGTTGGTTCGTCGTGACAAATACGAAGAACAGACATTGGTTAGTTACTTTGTACCCGTGGAAACAAGCGAAATGGACGAATTTTTGAGCTCGGCGGATGAAGATGACGGAGACGACACGGATACTAAAGGACGACAAAAATATCGACGACTTATTAAGGAAATTAGAGAGTATTTGAAGCAGAAGTTGCCGAGCTATAGTGTTCCAAGCGGTATGTTTATGCTATTATTGTTATTATTATAGTCAATAAGTATTCATTATAACTGTACTAAACTCAATATTTAGTATTTGTTCCGCTACGAAAAATGCCATTAACACCAAACGGCAAAATCGACAAACCTGCATTACCTTTCCCCGATACTGCACTCACCACCTCCAAAGCACTACCACCCACAACACCACACACCAAAAACGACACCCATCTCCAAAACCTGACACCCATCGAACAAACAATCCACAAAATATGGTCACAACTTCTTCCAGAACCACCAAAACCCATAATACCAATCGACGAAAACTTTTTCGATCTTGGCGGCCATTCGATCATTGCCACCCGTTTGGTATTCGAACTGCGTAAAGCATGTGGTGTTAATGTTTCACTGGGGCTAGTATTCCAGGAGCCGACGATTCGAGGACAAGCAAAAGAGATTGAGGGAATCTTGAACCTCGAGTTGAACATCGCTACTGAGGGTCAGCAAGCAAATAGTGTCAATAATAATAAAATTAATAATATTGATGAAAACAGTGTGAATATCAAAAAAGATGACCAAGAGTACGATTATGCAGCTGAACTTGAGCCGTTGATTGCAGAGTATTTATTAGAAAGTTACAATTCATTGCCTGACAATAGTCCCAGAAAGCAAATATTTGTTACAGGTGTGACTGGATTTTTGGGAGCATTTATTATATCATCTTTATTGAATACTAGTAATGAAATAAAGATTATTGCACATGTGCGAGCCAAATCAAAAGAACTAGCACTAGAACGAGTACAGAAAAGTTTAAAAGCACATATGGTATGGCGAAAAGAATGGTTTATCGAAAATCGATTAGAAGTAGTGTGCGGTGATTTGGAAAAAGAAAGATTAGGAATTGACGAGGATGAATGGCGGGTATTGACAGAAAAAGTTGATGTTGTGATTCATAATGGTGCATTGGTATGTAATATTCTTCACTTTATGATTATCAATGATATATACTAATACTTTTATCTAGGTCCACTGGGTCTACCCATACACGAAACTACGTGCTGCCAATGTTCTAAGCACATTATGGGCTATAAGATTAGCATCGACACATCATGCAAAGTCATTCCACTTTGTTAGTTCTACATCGGTGTTGGACACCGAGCATTATATCACACTGAGTGATGAGATAGTGGAACGTGGAGGACAAGGGATTTACGAGCATGATAATTTAGAAGGGAGTCGTAAAGGGTTGAGAAGTGGGTATGGGCAAAGTAAGTGGGTTTCGGAGAAATTGGTGTTGGAGGCAAGAAGAAGGGGGTTGCCTGCTACAATAATGAGACCGGGTTATATAATCGGAGAATCACGCACTGGAGGTAATTCATTAATTTTTCATGTCTTTCGAATATTGACAACCGCTAAAAGTAAGATTATATGTAAATTTTAACAACACTTTATTGTAAATAGTCACAAACACGGATGACTTTATTTGGCGTCTAATTAAAGGATGCATTCAACTTGGTCTCATTCCAACCATCCACAACACATTAAACATATGTCCAGTAGATTACGTTGCCGACTGTGTCGTACAAATATCCCTTTCACCAATTTCCCCTCAAAAAGGTGTATTCCACATCACACATCCCTCTAACCCTTCATTCCGTTTCAACGATCTCTTCCAATCCCTTACGATCTACGGCTACTCTGTCCAGAAAACCGAGTACATTATTTGGCGAAATAAACTAGTAGAATTTACACTCCAAGCACAGGATAATGCTTTATATCCTCTCTTGCATTTCGTGTTGGATGATCTGCCGACGAGTACAAAGTCCGCAGAGTTAGACGACTCGAATACACGCGAGGTTGTGTCGCGTACGTCTATTTGTATTGACGAACGGTTGATGGGCTTGTATTTGGGCTATTTGGTGGGTGTTGGCTTTTTGAGTCGTCCCGAGAAGACTGGTGAAAGAGTTTTGCCGGATGTGGTGGTTGATGCAGAGATGTTGAAACGAAGTGGAAGCAATTAAATTGATGCATAACAATTTATTATTATTATTAATGAAAGCAGAGATGACGGATTTAACTTTTTTATTTATTTGTGCTAGTATTGCGCTACTCGAAAATATTATACATAAAAATACATATATTCGCTACTGCTTCATAACTTCTGCTCAGTTCCTGAGTAGAATAAAAAAACTATTAATTCACGTAAAAATTTCTGGTCTCCCCGCCATTTGATACGTATGAATAAAGATATTAGGATGTTCCTTGCTGCATTGACATCTCGATTCCACAAGGTCAAACAAACGCTTTTGCATATAATATGTGGTTTTTCAAGGTGCCGGGCACAGAACAAATCTGAAAATATTTTAAAAAAAGGTAAATCCTTGCTTTATTTGTATAGGATTTATCGACGAGAAAAGTCCAATAATTTCTTGTATAGATCCTTCCTTGGAACAAGGGCATGACCTCATTGATGAACTAAATGTACTCGCATCATAAGCCAGTGATGCGATGGGTAAGAGTTGTTTACTACAAGTTGTTGAATTTTAGAACACGAGACAAAGGATTTAATAATAGATGCGCAGTCTTTCGGTGTAGTGATCTGTTCGGGTCGAATTTTTAAATTTGTTTTACCATCATGATCTTTAGAGGAATGTGGAAAGTATAAGAACATCTAATGATTATGATAAAGGATAATTATGTAATTAATAATATTTTTTCGAGTCTCTTGCCATTCTGTTTCTCCACTTTGGTCAGATTTTGTATTGATTTTCGCGAAAGTAGTGATTATAATTTTGAAGTGTCGTAATACTTATAACATTGGTAATGCCGACACGAAAGAATATATGGTCGCGATTTCAGGAAACCATTGCAATATAACCAATGCAAATAAAGTTCGCCACACGGCGAAACTGTTCGTACAAATTTTTCGGTATGAATGTTAAAAAAGGAATATTTTGACGTTTTTACTTTGTTGGTGAAATTAAATATTTTTCTAGTAAAAAAAAATGGTGATGAAGCATGAAAATATTCAACCAGTGAAATTCAGGCAAAAATTTTGATAATAATGGCATCCACACAAGTACCAACAGAGCAATCAGTTCCAGAAACAACACTACCAACCGCCTCTACTACTATCACCACTCCAAAAACCGAGCTTGAAACTCTTGCGTTAGAAAGCTTAGCAAAACTTGATACACTTATTACTCTCGCTGGTCAGGTATTTCAAACACTAGACGCTTATTCGCGTCAGAAACCGGTAAACGAGGATAATGAAGGGGAATTTGAACAATTAAAGCGTGAGAACTTTGGAATAGGTGGGAGTGAGGTGAGAGAAGGTGAAACTGGAAAAGAAGATGCTGTCTTTTCAGTTGAGAATGTTGTGGATGTCGTGGAACGGTATCGTGAAACGGAGGCAGAGTTGAAGGAGTTTGTTGGTAAAGTTGACGCGTTGAAGGTAGAACAAGAGGAGCGAGAAAGGGAAAAAGAGAGAGAGAAAGAAAGAAAAGAAGAACAGGAAATGAAAATGGAAATGGAAACGGAAACGGAAATTGTAATAAAAGAAGAAGTAAGTCTTTTTTCTTCTTCAACAAATACATGTAATTGGACGCAAAAAATTAGTTTATTCTAATTTGAATCAATAGACAAAAACCGAAACAATAACCACCACCATTACAGACGATGGGATATCAAAACTAGAGCCGTCTTCTAGTACAATCACCACAGCCATTTCCACTACATCTGTCACAATAACTGAACAGCAGCTGTCACTATTGCCACCTTCACAACAGCAAGAAGTAACTGATGAGAATCCAGTGATCGTTTCTCTTTTACAGAGACGCGATGAGATATTAAAAGTATGTTTTTTTTATCCGATAAGAATGAAAAATGAATCGAATGACGCGTTGTTCAAATTAATTTATTAATAATATTGTAAAAAAGCAATCAAATGAACAATCAGAACAATTGTCAACACTCTTGGAACAAATGTATCGATTACAATTCATTGGGCAGACATTAATTGGTAGTTTTGATCAACCTATAAACTTGGAGGGTGAGCAAGTTGAGGGTGAAAAAGGAGGTGGAAATGGAGGAGAAAAAGCCGAAGATACGGGGATGACAATTAGAGAATCTTTGGAAGAGAAAAAAGATGAAATGGGAAGTGAAAATGATGCTATGATTCTATAATCTTGTTTCTATGCGTGCGTGTATTTATATTTAGAGATAAATGTGCAGATTTAATAAAAGAAATGAAAGAATAGTTGGAAATAAATATTTAAATGTCTCTGTGCAAGTTACAATAATAACTACTGCAGTTAATAGTAATCCTATAGTATCCGTTTTAGCATTGATCCCCATGAATCATAAGTAGTTGCAATTACAATCTAATTGAAGTAAATTAAATGTATAATTAACAAATAAAATATATTCATTAACAAATAAAAAATATATATATATCTATATATTAAAGAATCAATTTTTACCTGATATGGAAAAGGATTACGATTATGTTCCGTTATCGAGGGAATATGATCTTTTTTCTCATTGACGAACCGTATAATGCTGAAAAGACACGATGTCAATTGTTTGTTCATTTCTTTGCGCATTTTTATTCGATCTATTTGGTAATACAATTAATTAGACAATATTTTCGTTCAGAGCAGCGGAATATAAAGAGAAAGAATAATATTAGATGAAAGGTTACTTGCCCATTTCCGTTCGACACATCACTGTATGAATAGTTAGCGCCCACTGTTCCCAACATATTTCCTCTTCTGATTTACTGAACCATGCTTTTTTCGTGCGTTTCTCGTGGAACATTATTGCAATCTATTTTTATTATGAATATTAGTATAACCAAATCAAAAATTTAAATACACACACCCATCCTACTGCTATTACATAACGACGAACCTGTCCTTTTTGATTCCCATGACTTTCCATCATATGAACAAACTGCATCACTTTCTCTTCGACTTCTTTCTCGATTTCTGGATCATCAATTGCTGCCTTTTCAAGAATTGAAAATGTATTTAATAAGAAATCATCTTTTTTATAAAGAAAATAAATATCCCGGCTCGTTTTATTTTTCAAGTATTATACCAATACTCACGTATGTCAGTTCTAACAGATCAACCTCACGTGGCTTTATATTCAGAAACACGCGATAGAAAAGTACCGTGTGCAAAAGAGCTGAATACACATGTAATTAAAAAACGATCAATATTAAATGATTCAAAAAATAAGAGAGCTTATTTCATTAGTACTTAAACACATAATATACACGTACCTACCACGTAAAACATCTTTCACCATTGACTTGTCGACGGTCTTTTTTGAATTATAAGAGTTTATTATTATTTTTATTTCATTATGATTTATTAGTTTTTATTCATCTCTTAATTATAATTTAAGCAGAACTATTTATTATTATGTCACTCACCAAATCAATAGGAAATACTTCGGGATTCATTTTTGTCAATGTGCTGAAATGTATGCTCTTTTCTCAATATATTAGTATTTTAATAAATACTTTTTGAACTCTTTGTCAAGACACAAAAATAGTTAGAGTATTCGACTGTGTGTAGATCTTATTGAAACTTTTTATTTTACGTAGTATATCGTGGTTGTACACTTGTTTTTCAATTCTCGAGAAAAAAAAAGAGATACACCGATATATACTGCGAATAAAAGAATAACAACAATACCACCACCACCACTACTAAACAGCAAAAAAGAACTAATAACTGAAAAGAGAACGATAATGGTACGTAGACTAAAAAAAAAAACGACTAATTCACTCTATAGCTGACAAATTTTGATTTTCGAATTATTTGATCTTAACAAAGAATAATAATACGAATTCTATCTCAATCAACGATTTACTCTGATTATTTGATGCCCGAGAGTGTTATAATTTGCATTTCTTACACGATACCGTGGCGAAGGAAAAAACAATAATAACAGAGAACATACTGAATTTATTTTCAAGTTTCGACAACACGACACAAAAGAGAGATCGTCTATTCAATTAACAATCTCGATTTTACTTCCATTATTTTCCCTCTCCCTCTCGCGCCGCCATGTCAAATATATACAGCTGTTTTACTCATTCTTCAAAACGCTAATCGGTCAACAAGTCACGGTGGAACTAAAAAATGATCTAGCAATCACCGGAATCCTGGTGTCGGTTGATCAATTCCTAAATATCAAGTTAGACGATATACATGTGGTTGAAGAACAGAAATATCCTCATATGGTATTATTATGACTCTTTGCCAATTTACCGTGTGTCATTACATCATTTTTGTGATATTTGTATAATTTTACTTGTAACAAAAAAAGATGGCAGTGAAAAACTGCTTCATACGTGGATCAGTAGTACGATACGTGAAATTACCAGCTAGCGCTGTAGACACTGCACTACTTCAAGACGCAGCACGTCGTGAAGCGCAACAACCTACAGTACCCGCGCCTCGTTAGCACATCATATTCATAAAATACTCAGGATCTCTTTACTTGGCTGTTTTTGTGTGTATCTTTTAAAATATAATAATATTATATATAGTGTAAATATTTTTATGTATATTTTCTTAGAATTATTATTATTGTAAGAATTATAATCAAAATACAGAAAACAATTTTCATGCTTTTTCAAGAATCAGTTATAATAAAATTATCTTTATATTATAAAATTCAATTATAGTCACATTTTTTTTTTTAGAAAAAACTAATAATTATATATGTACATAGTATAAAAGAGAAAAAAATAATTGCTTTGCTAAAATTAGCTTATATATTAATAAATTTTAAATTAAACATTTTTATTTCTTTTACAAATAGATATGAATTCAAGGATAATAAAAAATGCATTGTCCAGATTATAAGTAAACAATTTAAATCACTTATTATTTTGATCAATATATCCCATACAAATAAGCAAAACAACTAATTATTTGAACTTAGATTCTCTTTTACTTTTCGTTCTATTATGTTACGTAGTGTTGAAGTTTGAATTTTATTATCGATTTTTAGATATGAAACACCTTCAACAGCGAAAATTTCACACCAAATCGGCAAAATTTCCGCTAATAATCTTAAATGCTCACGAGCTTCGACTAAAAATTTAAATTTAATCCCGATCAAATTTCTACTCAGCAACAATAAATAAAAAAAGGAAGACTTTGAATTATTATTTTTTTGTATGTACCTTTTGACATTACCAATCTATCGCTATCCGCGCGGGATAAAGATTCAGATAGCTCCTCTAGTCGCATCTTTTCTTTTAACTTGCTTGCAAAGATACTATTGAATAAAAAAAAATTGTTAAGGAAATTGTAATATATTATATGTGCATATATATATATATATATTTCTTCCAACGGAAAAAAGGATACAATGAGAGGGTTTGCGCAATGTCAGATAACCTGCTCAATTGTGAGCGTCTTTTCTTTTCTTCTGGAGTTAATGTTTTAATATTTAGTCGCTGTTTATTCATTATTTCTTTTGCACGTATCTATAATGAATATAACTGTCAAATGTGTATTTTGAATCTATGATCAATCGATCAATCAACTAAATATTTTACCCGCTCTCGCAAAGAATCTCGCCTAGACTCGGGCGATGATGACTCCAATGATTTTGGTGTTTCAACGGGATTTGAAATATCAATGGCATTCTATAGCATATTAATTAGTAATATCAAATTAATTTCTCGCGATCTTTATTCTAAAACATGTAGATATATAATCTTACCGGTATATTATTGATATTCAGACGGATCTTTGGAGAGCTTAGCGATGAATGAGGTTTGTGAAGTTGAGGTAGTTTGGCTTCAGGGATATCCTCGACACTTTCTAGGTCAAAGCCTGCGTGCCATTCATCGGTAGTCTCGATAGGGTGGACTATTGATTTCGATTTCAAGTATCCCTAAATGTTAATAATGAATAGTTCGAGGGAAAATAAGCGACTATTATATAAAACAAAACACGTAGTAAAAGCCTTGGAGATACCTCATATTTTTTCTTTACAATGTCAAATAACAAATCGTGGAATTTACGTTTCCTTTCATTTAACTGTTGGGTCAACATTATTTTTTGAGGACCTGGAAAATTTATTAAGAACGAATTCTCATTGAGATGGCGATAAGCTTCAACAGTAAAAGCTTGAGGGTAAACGTGGATTATCTGCGCAAAACGTGTTAGATCGAAATTTCTAATCAAATCAATTGAAAATAAAGTAAATTATCAATGTATATAAATTTACATTGAAAACCAAAACCACCTTTGCACAACACACCTTCCAGAAATTTCCTCGACCTGATTTTTCATTTTATGATAAACGCAAAGACGATTCTGTCCAAGATTTGTATTCAAACTAATCTGCAGCGCATTAAAAATTTTCTCCAAAACAACGAATTTTTCCGGTAGCCTAAGTCCATACTTTGGCTTGGAAGTAACAAAATATTTGTTAAGAGTGTTGCTTTGGGCGGGCGCAGTTTCACGTTTTGCGGGTATGATTGATGAAGATGGAAGTTTTTTTGATGTCAAAGAAGGAAGACGGGAGGAGGAAGAGGCCCTTTCTGAGGTGTTTGAGCGTTTTATGGTTTGGTTAATAAATGCTGCATTTTTTACACCAATTGGCTTTGTAAGGTTTGTAGAGTTTGCGCGAGTGCTTTTAGTATTGCTGTTTGCTTTTTTTGCTCTTGGCATTTTTCGAGTGTTCGCGTAGAATAGAGTTTATATCAACGCGTACGCTTGCTCGAATGTTAAAACAACAGTCACGTGAATAATTTCTTACTATTAATTTATGATTAAGCCAATTGACTATAATCGCATTTTAATTGGCTAATTAGGACCTGAGTTAGGATTAGGGTTAAGATTCTGAATATCGATATGTCATTGGTTAATATTGAAGTTGTTACATGTTGCAGTCGTTACAATTAGATTGATTAATGACTGTCACGTGGTATGTATCAACCAATCAAATTGCATCGCGTTGTTTTTGACCAATCAAATTGCATAAAGTTATCTTCAACCAATCAATAAATTTTCACTTGCCATGTGAGTAAAATCATGTGACTTTTTTCAGAAATGTGGGTTATTAAAAATCGATATATCAGATTTTTTTGAAAATTCTCACTAATTTTTCGCTTATAGCAATCCAAAAGTCGGTCCTCTTGTCGAGAAAGAATGTTCGTTGTTGCATGAAAAAACGGGACAGGCACATACTAAGTCAAATCCTAATTTCAGCGACAGTCGATCTGACACCAGCACCGCGAACGTACTCTGATAATTTCTGGCGGCAATGTTACAAGCTTTCAGATATAAGTATAAAAGAGTATAAAGGCACTTCAGCAATTTCGACGAATTGTTGACGGTAGAAGAAAAAGAAGATCATTTTGCGCAAAGTATCGCAACATCGAAATTCCGTTTGATGTTGGCAGACATGGTTTGTACGCGCTTTTCAATCGAATAATCAAGCTCGCTTAATTCCAAGAAGCGAAGCGTAACATAGAAATTTGGCAATATCTATACTTTGCTAAAAAAAAAACCCCCCCTGAAAGACGTGATTTGAAAACTCGTTTTGCATAACACTTTCATTCAATCCTTTGCAAGCACGTATCACATTCCTATTGGGGATTTGGGATCAATGTTTCATTATTTCAATTACGCCTTATACAGATGTTGTCATGACTCCTCATTTTTAATGCGTCTCTGATACTTCATGCAGAGAAGAAATAGTCGAGTTTCTATAGCAAAAAACAACATATATAGCTTTATAAATTTAACCATTATTTATTGTATTAATAAGACTGTTCACACAGTCTATGAAATCATTGGTTCTTACACCAGTAGTCGTTACTACGGTATAGGGATCATGCGCGATAATGTTTTTGGTCTAATAATAATAACGAATTTTTCTTCCGATATTAACTTTTGTAGGTGAATGACTGCGCCACTGATTAAATTTCTAATAGAATTCAATTAACGAATTAACATTAATGTTAAAGATCCCGACATTTTTATTAACTTTAGTGTACCAAGCCAGATTTTTTGCTTTTTTGTTTTGCCGGAGCTGATCAAAAATTTACGCATTTTTATTGGTTGCCATGTAGTCCGACATTTTTAAGATGGACCATGCTGGACATAATCCAATAGTGCGTCACTGGACCACTGGACTTGGTAATTTTATAAGTCCAATATGGTCCAATCCAGTAACTTCTGGCTACTGGACATAATTAATATTCTACCATGGCGAAAAAAAAGTATCGATCACGTGATCTGAAATAGATCCATTAAAATATCCGATTAATATTAGATATCAAGTATTAGGGTTAGGGTTAGAGCTGAGATCAAACTTATATAAAATTGTCATTTTTTGATAGTGTGCCAAGCTAGATTTAGATATCTGTCTTTTATTTTCTTGTGTCGGATTTGTTTTTGGTTGCGCAGAATTTTTGCGCATTCTTATTGGTTGGATCTGATCATCGACACTTTTTTTTCGCCATGGATCGAATAACGGTTTTGTAGGCCAATATATAAAAAGTGAACTCAAAGATGCTGGTATTGTCAAATACGGGGGTTGGCAAAGCCTGGTGAACATGTGATACCTGCTTGTCACAGTGTTAAAGGTTGATTTTTTAGCCTTAGGATTAGAGTTAGAGAGTATATGTAAAATTGCCTCACCGACGTTTTTAATTAGTGCTCCAAGATAGATTAAAACATACATTTTCCATATTTACGTTCGTGCTTCGGATTTGTTTTTCGAGTTGATCAAAAATTTACGCATTCTTATTGGTTTGTCTCTCGGACAGATCATTGGACCCACCAGGCTTAGCCAACCCCAAAAACGGGATTACTGTACTCTGTCAGGAAATAATATCAGCTTCAATTTTATAAAGCTGAATGGTCTATATCTTGCAAAAGGAACCATTTGTACGATTACGAGTGGGATCATGGAGAAAATAAATTTAAACGATCCGAAAGGTGCGAAGTAGTTGTGATTCAAAACAAATTACACCAGAGTTTATAAACGAGGTAAAAATGAACAATCTCTAAAGTGTAGCCATGATGCTTTTTGTTTTCTAATACAATTTTTTTTAAACATAGGTTTGGACTGCTTTAAAGTGCAGTTTTCTTGGTTTAAATTATTATAGAAAAATGAATATATACTCGATTATGTATATTAAGTCCAATTACGGGAAAATCGAAGAATCAGACATTCTCTATTGGTTGCATAAGAAGGATTTGCATCGTCTAGAAATATATTTCGGTTTTTAATGCTCAAATTGCCGATTTTGGCCTTCCTGGTCCAGCTAATTTAAATGATCAGGAAATTTACGGAGCCCTTCCTTATATTAGTCCAGAGATGCTAAATGGAAAGCCATACACTAAAGCTGCAATATCTATAGGTTTAGGATGAGATTGTAACTGGTGACATGCCCTCTTTCAATAAGGAAAGCGGCATTCTCTGATTATTTAACAAATTAAATGATATTGATATTCAAAATACTTTATTAACGTTAAGTCGATGTTTAACGTTAATTACTATCGTTATCTGAAATTACAATCAAATTCCTTTATAACGATCGCATTGAACTAACCCTTTTAGGCCGGTATAGTGAGATTCCGGTATACACTGTATACCGGCGTTACCAAGTAGCAGTCGTAAGGCAATAATGAAATGAAATGAAATATAACATTACAAAATAAATTTCTACATTTGCGTTCCCATTTTTTTCGACTAGACTAATTAGGACAGAATTCGGAATATCATTCCATCCTTAAATTGCCCGATTCTTTGGTTTTCGCTTTTCTAAAAAGATATCGAGCATTGGTGTTAGAATTAGGTAAGTCGATGGTTTAGTGTTTCAGATCGAGAGACAGCTTGGATAACCAACATCCAAGTAAATTGGTAGGATGTCAAGAAAAAGATGTCGATGTTTCGGATGAATGGGCAACAGTAAGATGGTAAGAACAGATTGCAAAAGGATCATGTTATTATGTATTAGTAAAAAATTTTGTATATATCGATATAGTGTCTGTATTAGAAAGCTTCGGTATATCGGGCATTTTTATGGAACTAGGGACATCAATTTTGCTTCGGTAAAAGCCGACTTCGGTGTATACGGTGCCGTTGTAAAAGACTTTGACTGTATAAACTCAACACTACAGATGATCGTTTGGTTCGCGACAAAATCCTGTTTAGAGTGTATACCACAATCTAAATGCATTTAATAATAAAACTACGTCATACAATTAGTGGTGAATTTTTAATTACTATCGCTATTTATTTGTATTTATTATTTTCCAAGTTATTAAGTTTAAATCATTTTTTGACCCAACGCAAGTAGATTGGTGTTTGGCTGTTCCGCGAATTTCGAATTCGTTGAAGGAGTCCTGATATTTACTTATTATATATTTACTTATTATATTTATTTCATAAAATTTATTCAGAGCATTTTATGTTTTGTTACTTTAATTAAATAAGCCAAAAAATTAATATATAATAATAATTAAGAAAAAAATAGATATAATCTCTAAAAAGTCATTGTTTTCGATCGAGAACCATTCAGTGCATCAGGATTAGTATCTTGAGGACTCGTATTTTGCCTTTACTTAAGAGTAATTCGTTTATTCTGCATTGAAAATATAGAAATTTCAGAAATAATACTTTTTATGGTATTCTTTGAATAACAGGATTTAATAAATATTAGTAATAGAAAAAATAAATGAAATAGTCCACAAATCAAAGTTTGTATCCAAGAAATATAAATCTGGCGTAATAAGTACGCAGTCACTCGTGTCAAAAAATCCACTGTATCAAGAGTTAATTAGTAAATATATATCGAACAGAATTTATTAATATTAATCCATTATATCGAGTCTCCACTATAGAGAGGAGGTCCACTATAAGGTGAGTGAGTGTGTATATTGCAATGAATCTCTTTCTTAAGAATAATGCGATTCATTGAACTTGGCGAATCAAAACAGCTACGAGTTACATGGAAAGTAGGTTTACTGCGTTTCCTTTTCTTTATTCAATAAAACATTTAACCTATCAAATTCTTTTTTTCGTGTTCATATTTTATATTGAATAAGGAATTACGTGTTGCGGAGCAAGTTTAACATTCATTCGATACTTTATTTGGTATGCGCAGGGTAGATGGATTACGTACATTACATTGCATGGTATTATATTTGTCATTGTTTAATAATATATGGATAATGGACAAGAAAGACAGAAAAATAAAATACAACGAAATCCAATTACTCGAGACAATACTTTATGAGCCACCTTCTGGTAATTGTTGCAATTCTATACATAAAATCCCGATTCGTATTTTAAATCTTAATTTTCATTATTAAAAGGATTATTCTTAATCGACCGGCATATTGATCGACTTTTACGATCTGCTTCATTTTTTGAATTGAAATTTAAATCTCAAGAAGATAAGAATGAGAGTGAAAAATTGCCATTCGAGTTTGTAAAGAATGTCGAATCTCTTGAGGAGTTTAAAAAGTTTTTGTTGGGAGAAATTGATAAATGTGTGGAAAAGATCGGAAGGAGAATTAGACAAAGGGTATATATATATATACAATTAAATTTACTAGATTGATTTATATATATATATATATATTGTGTGTAATAAAAGGTTAGAGTAGTTGTTGATGTAGATGGAATTCCGATGGTGACTAGTAGTACATTTGAGTCAAGTAAGTTTTAAATTTGTTTTTACTTTAATTAATCCAATCGATTGATCGATTTACTCGTTCAATCATAGAACCAGGCAACTCGATAATCAAAGTAAAATTGGATACAGAACCTACAAACTCTGAGAACATTTTTCTTTTTCATAAAACAACTCATCGTAAAGTATACGATGTTGCTAGGAAAAGAGCTGGTATATTTTTAGAATTTTCTTTTAGTTAATCAGAGTTACATCATACTAATTTTTTTCAGGCATTGATCAAAACAACACCGATATATTCGATGTGATTCTATACAACGAAAATTCAGAAATAACCGAGTGTTCAATTGCAAATATTGCAATTGAGATTCACGATGATAGGGCTAATAAATTTAAATGGAAAACTCCTAAAATAGAATGTGGTCTTTTACCGGGTGTAATGAGAGAGTATTTACTTGAGACGAGAAAAGAAGAGTTTTTTGAGGGTGTTGTGTCAATTGAAGACTTGAAAAGAGCTCAAAAGGTAAATTGTAATCTAATTCGATTTAATCTGCGTGACATCATCAAATTTGCTAATCTCAATGAATAGGAAGGACGAAGAATTTTATGTTTTAATTCGGTTCGGAAAGAGTATCAAGTTATGTTGATTGATTAACTATATTTCATTGTTTCTTGGATTGACTCAATCGATTTTTTTTACCCACTCCGCGTTAACATTCCCCAAAATAAGATGATGATTTGTTTGACAACAAAAAAGTATAACGTGCTTAGATATAACTTTGAACTAAGGGGCATAAAGGATTCACAGTGATTGGATCGGGGTTGCATATATACAAATCAGAGAAAGAATGTCATTTGACCTCTTGTATTACAAGCTTTAAAATATTAACAACCAATTTATTGACGATCACTCGTTTAGTATTATTATTACTTTTGTTGCATTGTGTCTTAAATTTGTTCATTGCTTGTAATTTGCTATTTCACATATACACACAATACAATAAAATGAATTTATCAAAACCCTCTTCGTCGACTGTTGATGCTCCAGGATTGTTATATGCAAGTTTCAATCAAGACTTTGGGTGTTTTGCCGCAGGTCTGGATGGTGGGTTTCGGATATTTAACTGTGATCCTTTTAAGGAGAAAATGCGCAGAGGTATGTATGCAATTCTTATGGAATTTCAACATTTTTTTATGTCTAAAGCTCGGGTTTTTTAAGAGTTGTTTATTTTTTGCATTCACGTCGCGTAGACTTCCCGGACGGTGGCATTTCCATAGTAGAAATGTTGTTTCGTTGTAATTACCTTGCGTTAGTGGGTGGAGGCAAGAACCCCAAGTATTCACCGACTAAAGTCGTAATTTGGGATGATTCGAAAAATAAATCGATTTTTGAGCTGGAATTTAGGAACGAAGTCAAAAATGTCAAATTAAGACGAGACAGGTATTCATATCGTCATATCTCGTACTAGGATTATCCTTTTTTTACTAATACTCATTTATTCAACTTAGGATTGTTGTAGTGTTACCAAATAAAGTTCACGTTTATCAATTCAGTCTTACACCCCAAAAACTTCACACTTTCGAAACAATAGACAATGAAAAAGGTTAGTACTTATGTGATATTGACGCGTTTAATATTCATTTTTGATGAATGGAATCTTATTTTATTATTCATCAGGTCTCGTTGCCCTTTCATCATCAAAAAATCGTGCTATCCTCGCATTTCCTGGTCGTCAAAAAGGACACATTCAGATTGTAGATCTACCCATTGCCGTTGTCCCAGATAGCACCAACACCCTGCAAGATTGTCGAAATTCATTCCCACCGCCTGCTGAATACAATGAACAGCCTCCACGATCTAAACAGCGAAAATCGAGTACTGCAAAGATAAATCCATATCCTGTCTCTCCCGGAAGCACTGTGCCGACCGCGAGTATCAACATTATTCCTGCTCACACTGGAAAATTAAGTTGCATAGCTTTGAATGAGGATGGAAAGAAATGTGCAAGTGCTAGTGAAAAGGTATTTAGGATTAATATGTTTAGTATATATCTTTTTATTTTGTAACTCTAAAAATTATTTACTTGATTTTAGGGAACGTTGATAAGAGTATTCGAAACATCAACGGGAAAGTTATTGAATGAACTACGAAGAGGTGCCGATCGTGCAGAGATATATAGGTATTTGCTTTTTATTCTATCGAATGTCTATTATTTGACATTATTCTTGTATATATTTTTATGCATATTTTTTCCTTCTACAATTTCCAGCATTAGTTTTAATCCAGACTCCACGCGACTCTGTGTATCCTCTGATAAGAGCACTGTGCACGTATTTAACCTGGATGCTGTACCCGATCGCGAAAGTGGTCATAATAATGGTGGTGCTTACTACGGAGAAATCACAAAGTGAGTGATTCTTTTATTAATTTTATGGAAGTTTTAGAATTAATTTTTTTGTTTCTTTGATAGCAAACAACCAACTCCTCCATCACCCAGTGGAAATCGACAATCCAGGTGTGATCATAATCTATTGTACAATAGAAACCCTCTTCAATAGAATCTATTGAAAATTAATGATTTATATATGTCTTGATACGTCTAGTCTATCATTTATGAAAGACCTATTGCCAAAATACTTTTCTTCGGAATGGTCATTTGCGCAATTCAAAGTGGCTGCAGATTGCCGATGTATCTGTGGGTTTGGACAAGAGAATACCATTATGGGTATGTCGTTTGATGTGATAAAAACCATTCCATCAAGAGAATTTATTTGAATCATCGTTGTAACCGGTATACCGACAATTTTTTATGTAGTAATTTGCGCCGACGGAAGTTTCCATAGTTTTCATTTTGATCCAAAAAAAGGAGGCGAATACGCACACGATAAGGAGAAATTCTTAAAGGATAATGACAAATGAAATGTATTTTTCGTTTTTTTGCTATTTTGTTGTTTTGAATTTGATTATGGAGAATGAAGATGAGGTTAACTTTATTTTTTTGCTCACAGTAGATAATGGGGGCGACTTAATTATTATTCCTCCTTCAATAATATTACCAACAATAATAATACTAAATAATAGTATTATTTGTTGAGCCTTCGGAAGCGGCGGCTGCTGTTACTACTACTACTCCTACTCCTATATTACGATGACGAGCTTCTTTGATGATGATTAGAGCAAATAATATATTTGTATAGATATTGAACGAGAAAGACATGTAACAATTCGATATATAGATAGAAAAAAAGGCTCCCGCATTTGGTTTGTGGAACTTTTTGGTTTTTTTTACCACATACATCATATATTACTGAAACCACCTACACTAGTATTTTATATTTATTTTACATGATAAGTTTGTAATTGTACAATCAAATATAAGCACTTAATTTTTATTATAAAAAAAATAAGATTTGTGTTACCCTCCCCTGTAAAAATTTTGCCACTTAAAATTGCGAAAAAAATAAAAAAGAGAGTTTACAGGGGAAGAGGCGTACGGCTAGCCAATCAAAATTATCTCCGCAAACAATTTTATTTTATTCGGAGTCATTGCTCTTAGAAAACAAGTGCCAATGGCATTCTCTTTCTCTGTGACGCAAATAGTTGATGGTTTCTTTGGTTCGGTATCTTAGATGGCACCTGAAGAACGAGAATCATTTTCAAATCGCCAAAATCGTGATTTTGCTGGATTTACATCAAGCGAGTCACGAATCAGCAACCGTCTCATTCTACCACTTCAACAACTCCAACAGAGCGCAAAAGCTCAATTTCTGTTATTTTGTTTATTGAGACTTTAGATTCTCAAAGAAACATAATCGAGAAGTATTGGTCGATTTTAGATGCAAAAGTTAATCTTGCATAAATTTTTATTTTTCATACATCATATTATGTCTAGAAGGGCTACAGAACTGGTGCAATTCGTGACCTTCTCACATCAGCTATTGAAAAGAAACAAGTAGACTTGGATAACATTGTTCTGCTTTTCAATCATCTTTCATCAGAAATTAGGTTACTATCATTGGTCTATATATATATACGCCTCTTTACTGACAAAGTTATTATTAGGAGATAAACCTGAGTAAAAAATTTTTGAGTAGCTAGTTCTGTATAAAATACACGTGCTTCTAAAAAATTTCATGTGTAACAAAAAACTCGAAACGCGTTGAATTTTACTACCGTTTATGAATTCGTCAAAAATGTCTTTTCAAAAAAAGGAATGGCAAGCCTGGGCTGCTTCGTATCCCTTCTTGAATCAAGTATGGATAAAACCACTAGTATTGGAAGCACAAGACTCGCAGGTCGAATTTACAGGAAGGAAATTTCCGGGACAAATTTATCAAGTAAAAGTTACATTCACTTTGCTACTTATTTTATAGATTTTCCTGTTATTTTATTGAAAAGAAAATTACTTTAGGTAAGTGAAAAAATAATGAACGAAAAAAAAATAAGATTTGTTAATGCTATGGTTCATGACTCTCGATATTGTTTTCCTTGCGAATTTCCTCCGCTGATTGATAATGATGAGTAAGTTGTTGCTCTCATAAATAATTCAATAAAAATAATTTAACATAACCGAACACGGGAGAATTCTATAATTCTGAATATTATAATTTTTTTAAAAGTGATTCTACGCTTGCTACTACGCGGAAATTGGAAAATGGCACCTTTGTGATCTTGAAAGAATTCTCGTTAAAGACAAGATTCATCAACCAGAATCTCTCGGAACCATATTTCCTCATTAAAAATTTTACTTTTACATACGGAGATATCTTACCTAATCAACTAAACTTGCAAGATGCCCGTAGAATTTTCAAGTTTTCACCATCTAGCTATACACCATATCGTTTAGATAGTGATTTATGGACATCGCCAAAGTCACTCGATGAATTTTTGATTTCCTCTCTCCCGCAAGATTCTATTCCCAATAAATCTGAAATCTCTCAAGCACCATCAGCACGAGTATTGAAAAGTAAATATCCCAATATTGTGTCCTTGAAGGAATTTCTCGTGAAAACATGGGAACTCGACTCGAAAAAATTTGCTAGAAGTAATGATACAGACGAGTACAAAAAGTTCTTGAGCACGACTTTTGTTGAGTATGATTCAGAGTGCAAAATAATTACAGATTTTTTTGTTAAATCTCTTGAGGGAGAATTGATTGATAGCTTAAGAAAGGTGAATATGACAACATAACCTGTATAAAGTTTTTATTGATTTGCTATTTTATTTAACTTTAAATTTTTTAGGTTGTACTCGCTGTTATCCATTCCCTCTTGCAACAATACAATCCTCAAAATATGAAAGATTATGACATTGGAAATATCCTAATGCGGGGATACTGGACTGTTTGTTGTCTTCATTTTTCAATTTCTTAACAAAATTCTATTCTAATAAAGAAATATTAATATTCTGTATTGTTTAATTAAATCAACAGGGAAATGTTCAAGATGGAATGATTAACCATTATCCAAATACCATTATCGGAAATTTAATACATTCTGAGAATTGGCAAACTCTTTATCAAAGGTTTGTCTCTAATATTACAAATTAATCTACTCGCTTTTAAATATTCAATAACTTTTTTTCTTATTCAGGATCGGAAAATACGAATTTGCTTCTCTGTTAAGGTGGACTTCTATTTTTGTTTATTTATGTAATGATTGTTATTATCAAGTTTCAGGTAAATAATTCGATCTATATATTATATTTTCCTGTATGTTTGGTAATATTAATAACTTTTATTTTGATAGGTATCCCGTTTGATACTGTTGATCTTCATCGGTCAAAGAAAAGAGTACATGAAGAAAGCCTGAGCGAATTTTCGAGAAAAATTCCTCGATTCGATATTCCCCGATTCGATGAATCATTTCAGAGGTAATTTAATCGTCAAAAATATTATTAATATCTTCTCTTATTCTCCTAAAATTGGTAATCTTATTTATTAAACGATAATTAAATAAAGTATCGTGAGATCACACTCAGCCATAATATTTAAGCGTGATTTTATGTTTTGTAAGCGAGCTATAGAAACTAGATCAAACTACCACAACAATGTGTGGCTCGGTTTACCATCATATCGTACGTATTAGTGGACATGTTTACGTGATATTTAATTCAATATACTCATTTTTAAGTCGGAAAATTTAGATATCTTGGAAAAAGTAAAACGGGGAATAAACGGATGTGATTCGGAATGGGTACTATCGCAAATCTTTAAAGAAGAATTCAAATTAACTGGTAAACCTTTCGATGATGGTCTTGATTGTGAACATGAGGTAAAAAAAATTGTGTTTATGTTTACTATTTTATTCAAGATTATATGTAAAACTGCTCTTGCATAAAAAGGATAATACCACTGCTCTCGAATGTCTCCAACCTGCTTTGGCGTTAGTAAAGAAAATAATCACTTCACATAAGCGAATCCGTTACGCTGCATATTTGAAAAAATTTTGTCCTGTTAAGGTGAGTAGGATTAATTAATAGCATGTATTATGCCAATTTATTGTTCATTTTATATAGTCCAAAAACATAGGATCAAGAATTCCTAAAGAAGTAGTGACTCCTTTCGAACAAGTTTCAAACTTTGTTCAAGGAATTCTTGAAATGTTGATACCTGCAGAATTTTGGGGCTGTCAGCATAATCAAAATGTGGTGTTTACTGGTAATATATATAATCACTTCAATTATTATTTATTCTATACTATCTAACATAATTTAGCGATGCTTTTTAGCTGTAGATCGGTTCGTTCGTCTCGGCAAATTTGAAAGAATGACGCTGCATGATGCTCTTCAGTGCTTCAAAGTTTGTTTTACGTAAAATCAATTTTTTTGCATCGTCTATAATTATGGTGATCATTGTTGAATCAATATATATTTTTTTTCGATAATTAGATGAAGCACTGTACATGGATAGATTCCCATGATGTGCAGAGACGGGAGCGCATCATATCTGAATTCATTCTTTGGATCTTTGATGGGCTTGTGATCCCGCTACTTTACGTGAGTTATTTTTTATTGTTCTTCATTTTATATTATATTTACCATTTCAGTATTTTTTTATCTGTATTTTAGACAAGTTTTTACATAACTGATACACAGTCAGGAAAAAATCTCATTTTTTACTTCCGGCAAGACATTTGGAAAGAAATCACGGAAATAGAATTTGACCAATTCATAGAGAAAAAATTCAAAAAAATGTCTCAGGTGAGCTGATTATTTATTTACCTAATAGGCTGGAATAGTTAATCATCTTAGTTTGTATTAAAAAAAAATTAGGAATCCACACCATCAAACAAACAGGTTATAGTATCTATGGTGCGTTTCGTGCCAAAGACAAATGGATATCGACCAATAGTCAAGATGAAAGATAATTTAATGAAGTACTTATTTAACTAAACATTATTATGTTTGTTAAATGAGCACAACCCTTAACATATAGTACTTTATTTCTTACAGTTCCGGCGGAAAGTAATGGTGATGAGATTGTTATGTAAATTTTACTAGAATAGTAGCATTTTTTATAAAAGCAAAATATGTAAATAAAGTGTTAGATTTCTAGCAAGGTAATAACAATCAAAAATAAAAATGTGATAATCTAACAGGAGCGCATCATGGCAGTCATATTTTGGTAGTAATCAGAATAAATTATTGTGATTTTTAGTTAAGTTACAATCATTAAACTTGAATAATTTAATATATTGCAATTAAAGAATATATCAAATATAAATATAAATGATTATTTCTTTTTATAATTAAGATAATTTTCTTAGAACATTCTAAATGTTAACAATAATTTAAATTGATATTTTTTTTATAATAAAAGTTGAAAATACAAAAATTTTAAAGTGAATTATCTAACTAAAAAACTTTTATTATTTATTTATTGCATATTATCAAAAAACAAATTTCAGCTAAAAAAACATGAATGGAAGTTATTTTAAAATTTAATTAACTTTTATTCATATTTTTTTAGCTGAAATTTGTTTTTTGATAATAAAAGTTTTTTAATTAGAGAAACAGTCTTTGGTTGATAAATGGCAGTTAATATAATATTAATAAATTTATTAATAAGAAATGAGACTGTTAAGTATTAATATAACATTTTCAATAATTAGAATAAAGTTATAATAAAATATTAGTTCGTTTGCCTAATTGGGCTTATATTTTTTACATTTTTCCAATGTTTACAAAGTGATTATGTATTGATATATGATACAAATTACATACTGTTAACACTATACCACCATATATATTGGAGTATTTCATATACTAAATATTTAAAAAAATTATTTGCATTTTGTTCTCACTAAAAATCTGATTGGAAACTTAATGAGATAGAATCTTGTTTGTAAGTCATTCTATTTTTATTTCAAATTTCTTTTAACTGTTGATTAGTAAATAAAATTCTTTTATTTTAGTTGTTGAAAGATACATTTTGGATTGTTGAGTTTTAGCAATCATGTTTGGATGAGTTTTTAAATCATATTTGTTAAATAAGCCTTTTATTTGTTGCTGATAAATAATAATGTATCAAATTTTATTTTTAATGAAGTCATAAAGCCATGGATATTAGTGAAGTAAGACTGTTAATTCATTAACAAATAAACTAAACTCTTGAAAGAATAGTTTATCAGTTAATATATTTATAAAACTGAAATCATTAAATTTTTCTTCTATAATATCTATTTTAAGAAACTTTGCATAACAAAATTCTTTTAAACTAGAAATTTTTAGCTAGAATTTTTTAAGCACAATGTGCCAATAACTGTGTGCTAATTATTTTCATCAAGATGACACATGCTTAGAGAAAAATGAAGTCAACAACTTAACCATTTTTGGTGTAATTCAAGTTCTTTTTGTATTCCTTGTTCTAATTTTTAAACTAATAATATTGTTACTGTTTTGAGCTTTTTGCATATGAAAGTATTTCAAAATGACAATAATAACTGTGTTCATGACAATTTACTTTGAATATTATGACTAAATAGTGTTTATGATGATAAAATAATGTTTCTTAACAAGATAAAAGGTGACAAAAATAAGACTAAACTAATAACAAAACTTAAACTAAAAGGTAAACTTAACCAAAAACTCCAAAATAAAATCAATTTAACATGTCAAACTTAACATTAAGCCAAAAGAAACTTAAACTCAACTAAAAGAACTTAAAACCAAAACTGAAGAACTTGATTTTTATTAATTATCAACACTTGTATTTATACATATTTTTATGTTATAGTGGTATAGTGTAATACAGTAATACAGTATGATGCAGAATGACACAGCATGTGGTACAATAGATCTATGCTAATATTATAAAATTATTAATTCTCTTCTAAATTACACAAAATTTAATTATATTTTAATTAATAATCTTGTTCTATATCTAAGTACCAATAGCAAAAATAGAAAATAAAAGCTAAACTAATATTGTCATGATATGACATTTGATAAACAATCTCATTGAATAAGAAATATATTAATTATTATTGAATTATATTTATTAATATTGTCACCATTTGATATTTTGATCACATGTAAAATATCATGTGACTTAATTTTGATAATTATTTATATTTCCTTTTATATTTTTCTATTTATAATTTTATTTTTTAATTATTTAATTTACTTAATTTACACATAATTTATCAAAAATATCAATTAATTCTTTTTAATATTATTTAATTTATTTTTTTTATAACATTATTGGATCTAAATCCATTCTATTTTAATTTAACATTAATTAATATAATGCTAATGTCACTCTAATTTTAATTGTATCGCTTAGATTA